TGGATACAAAAATCTTGATGCATTTGACAGATTTCTGTAGCAATTTTTCGCATGAGTTTCTTGTGGAATTAAACTAATTCTGATTACATTCACATCTCATTCTTCCTAAGAAGATAAGGGGTAAGAAATTCGTGATCTCCAGGTATTATTTATCACGAGCTAAAGCAAGCTGGGAGTGCATGACTGCTGTTTTTTACCAGTCTGTGGCTCTATAACCGTGTGCACTAACGTCCCTGAAGTCCTAATGAGTCCTATTGAAGTCCATGACTCCTGAAGTCAATAAAGATGAATCGTAAGACAAGTATATACCGGCTACGTTGAATGATGATCACTTTCTATCGTTATTTGACTGATGTAAGAAGCTGTAAAGCATCGGATTCCCATCCAGTGACTCAGTGGTAATGTGCTAGCTGGGAAACTTGACGGCCCTCGGCTTGCTCCCTAGTGGGGTCATGAGTTTACATTGCTGAGGATTATTAGAATAAGTGAAATTGATTTTTAGAATTACTAGGTTTTTAATAGCTAGCCCGTGGGGAATATTACTGTGAAACCAACTAGTCAATCCACTGAAGAATTGTATGAGACATTAAAACACAAGACTTGACTTATTGATCATGTTCATTATTAAAAACAAGCAGATTGATCAGTCATTTCATTAAAGTTCTCACTACTCACCAGTGCCAAAACACACCTTTTTCAGTCAAATGAGTAGTTCATGAATGATGGTATTAGTAGAAGTGTTTTTACTTCTCAATAATAAAGTATATTTGAATGCATTTACTGGTGTCTAGCTTTGTTTTGGCCCGATTCACAACAAATTGCTCACCAATAGCGGTAAAACAGGTGATTCTCCGAATTATTAGTCATAAAAATAGTCTTTGATGAAATAGCATTTTAATAAAACAATTTGAGCAAATAAATGAATGAATGAGCCGGTAATTACTGAGCAACATAACTATTAACTCCGTTTTATTTGATATTTTTTTACTCTGAAGACGCCCAAATTCCAACAACTAGAGAATTTCATAAATTAGCCACCAATCTTTTTTCCTAGATTTTTTTTCTATGTAGTTAAATTGGACTTGAAATTTTGTAAATGGTAGTAATCAATTGACAATACTTTTTCCATCCTTCCCTTCATAATGGCTATTTATTCACCTTCCTTACATTGAATTAGTGAATTACAGTTAAGCATATATTGGATCAGTTTGGATGTTTGTGGGGATTTATCGATTTTTGGTTGGTGTTCATTATGGACTGATATCAACTGGAGAAACATTGAAATCAATAAATCTCCATAAATCTGTAAATTAAATTAATCTAGCGCTCACTGGTGACTAGCTTCAAAAGGCGATTCGCGAATTTCCAATGACAAGTTGCGAACAGAGGGGGAACCAATTACAACATAACAACAGTTACTCAACGACTGCATTGGATGGAGGTCCCACCAAATCGTGAACTGACAGAAGTAAGAAATATGGATCATTGGATTCTGACCCACTGGATTAGTGATAACGTGCTGGCAGCGAGACCTGAAGGTCCTGGATTCGGTCCCCAGAGGCGTTGTGTGTGTACTATGATGAGGAGTCCTACACTAAGACGAAACAGCTGTCCAGTGCTCCCAGGTTCTTGATGTTTCTTTGACTGATGTCACTCCATGATGAATACCAACCTGATACATATTGAATCAAAAGTACTTTTGATCTTAGGAATTGAGTAGTGACTAGTAATAGAAGTGAGGATATGAATTTCATCGTATTCCAAATTCACCAGCCAGAAGCACCTATCTCCCAGTTAGTACTTTCGCTTCCGTCGATTCTTGAACCCAACACCTAGTGCTTGAAGTGTTGTGCAAATAACCACTGAGTTACAACAGACACTTCGTGTAAAATGGGTTGAGTTTCTGAGTACAGCTTGTTGTTATCTATTGTTAATTCGTTTGAACCGAATTGATCTGATGTTGTTGATATCTTGTTTTCTCAGTAAACACCTTGGTAAAGCCACTAATCTCATCTTAACAGTAGGGATAATTACTGTTGAGCAGTGGAATCTAGAAATTTGTTCTTTTCAGGACTCATGGGACTGTTAATGATGTAACGGTTAGCGGATGATTACTGTAGCACTGAAGCTAATATAGAGAATCAAAAGTTGCCAACTACTGCTGCCTCTCAACAGAAACTCAGCTAATATATAGCAGAAGGCTTTGATCACTTCAAGTTAGCAAGATGATGTTACGTAGTCTTACAGGTGTCCTGAAAACAAAAATGGTTTAAAATGAGACCATCCTACATTAAGAGCTGTAAAACAATCACACAAGTTGTATCAAGAAAGATTAAAATGAGGAATTTCACCTAGTACACATTGTTTTTAGCAAATTATGATAAATTTAGGTTACAAATTCTTCAACCAAAATACACCACAGTGATTATCGAAGTACGATACTTCGACAAAACAATAAGAAGACGTAAATTGTCTGTATTTGCCCAGCACGTTTCGAACTATCTGATCACATACCTACTTGTCATACGTATTTATATAAAAATTCATGAAGAAAGATAAGGGGTCAGAAAATAAAAAGAGATCAGGTAGGAAGGCTGAATTAAAGGCTGAATAGCAATGAAAATCAATTGAGCAAAAAATAATAGCACATCGAACTTGGTTTTCAATAGTTGAATTTACCAAAGAAGATTTAATGTAACAACAAATTGTTTATGAACACACGAAGGTAGTTTCAACTTTCTAATAGCTAAGGCCTCAACAAATTTAAGGATACCTCCCCAGCATGTCTTGTAGGTAGGTGTAAAGGAAGTAGCCACATCAATCCTGTGGCCTGTCTCAACGATATGTTTAGCGATTGAAGAACTTGGACGTCTGCTACCAACATTTATGGGTTCAGGTGATTTAATTTGCTTCTGAAGCCACTTTGGAGTATGTTCTGAGGCCCTTACTTGCATGGATCTATTAGTCCTCCCTATGTATGTGTCACCACACGTACATTCGAATTGGTAGATACAATGGGATATGACATTGTCGTTCACATGCTGTAGGGGTTTGGGGGAATATACGTGCTTCGTGGTTCCTATTACTCGAACCCTGGCTGCATAGGAAGTCCTTCTAACAGCAGGGTTAAGTCTCTGCTTAAGGATTGCACTATGAGAGTCACCTTTGTACGGAAGGCTGATGAGGACATCCTTCTTTGGAACAGACTGAAGATCTAGTTTTGGCGCTCTGATAATTTTGGTCTGCCTGATAAATGTTTATGGATAGTTATTTTCCAATAGAATGTCAGTCAGTGTTCCTCTTTCGTCTTCTAAAGTATTCTCTGTGCATATTCGTTGAATTCTGCTGAATAACCACCTTACTAACGTTCGCTTGTCATGAAGGGAACTAACTGTTAGAAATATGATACCTTTTTGTTACTTTTCAGTGCTGGCCTCTGTTTATTGCCCGGTATATGTCTTCATGCGATACTTGCTAATCCCACCCATATAGTATATAAAAAGGCATATATATTGAAGATATGATCTTGTTTTCAACTGCTTCGACTTAATCAACGCATTTCTGTACGTAGTAGTTGTTTACTCTACCGATTAGAACTGAATACAACTGAATAGGAAGTGGTCTATCATTTATTTCCAGATAATTCATGTTCTGGCATTATCCAGTTACCATATGAGTTATAAAAACTGGTAATAAAACTGAAAAAGATGGAATATAGCGATGTCAGTAACACTAAAAGATTCGCAAATAAACAATATAGTTCAGTTGTTGGAACTCACAGGAAGCCTGGTAGCGTAGTAAACCAATTTAGAGGCAAAACAGTGCTAAACCTGCAGCTTTTCGGCAGTTGCTTGGAGGCAACGGGCAGGAAGCCTTGTTTGCACTAAGTTTTTTGTTTGCTGGCACTCGTCAGTAAAGCTCATCTGTTACCTCTGATGTTCGAACCTATATCACTCAGTGTTGTAGTAAATGGTGTTAACAGGTTGCAGTTGATCTCTTGTAGGACTGAATTAGACTGATTAGTTATAAGAAACAAATCAATTTCCCAATTTCATGTGTCACTGAAGAGCATATGTTCTTAGTGTAGATATATAAATGATCTTATGAGTTATAGCACAATGGTAACTGGAGAAAACAGACAGATCTGAAATACAGAACACAACTTGCATCCTATTGTTGTCAACTTCAGTTGATTTGTTTCTCAACAAGTGGGTATTACTGCTATTTACTAAACTCAGACTCAGTAAATCAGGTGTTTCCGAAATATACGCTCTAAGATCAAAATGATATGAACCAATGATATTCAAGTATCATAAGACTAGTTGAACAAACTACATATTTCGGTTTCAAAAAGAAGTAGGAATGAAAATTTACATGTATGATTCATCTAATGATGTTATTTTTACCTCTGAATGTTTATTTATCAAACATATGACTGGATACTAAGCATCATCAGTTTGCTGATATAGTTAGCATGAACTTAGGCGATTTTGAAGGTATAGTCTCGTTGAAGTTGATCAGTTGAGATAAAACATTCATGAATTCAGCTTAAATGAATGAGACACCCTTTGATGTTTAAATCATTTCAGTTTGCCTAGTCAGTACTCTTAGTTAGCATGAGAAGCCTACAACTGACCATTTCAGTCATTAGCTAATGTTGTATAGATTTCCTACCTCTAAGTCTCTGTTAGATTTCATATTTTCATTTAAATGTGATCGAAGTAAACTCCAATAAAACTTCACAGTTGAGTTTGATTTGGTTGAGTACTCACTTTGGTCCCTGATTTTTCAAAAAAAAATGATTGACTTCTCAGTAAGATCATATTTATGTATTGTTAAAGATTTTCGCAAGCAAAAAAGTGATTACACATTACTTCCTGTTACACAGTTATCAATCAATTCAATTTTTATGAAATGCCTTATAAATTTGTGTTATTGTTTAACTTGTTTATTATCAAACGAAAATATTAAAGGCGCGTAAATTTTGTTCCTTCTTGTAGAAATATATGTATACTATGAATGAAGAAGATGCAGAAAACCAAGTATTCAATACTACAATAACTGATAATATGTTATTCGACGAAGATGAGAAATATAGTGGAATGTTGATGCAGTGGGGTCAATTTTTAGATCATGATTTAGACTTTACACCAGTTGATGCATCAACAAGTCGATTTAGTGATGGTTTGGGATGTAATGAAACTTGTGTTAATGATCCACCGTGTTTTCCAATCTTAGTCCCTCCAAATGATCCACGTATAAAACATCGTTGTATTGGATTTGCTAGATCAAGTGCAACATGCGGTTCCGGTTCAACATCTATTCTACTAGGAAAACCACGTTATAGAGAACAATTGAATCAGATTACCGCATTCATTGATGCATCCAATGTTTATGGAAGTGATGATTTTGAGAATAGTCAACTTAGAGAAACACTTTTCGATGAAGGTAAAATGAGAGAAGGTATGCCAACAAGAGCCCAGAAACGTTTGTTACCTTTTAATATCAGAGGACAGGTAGGTAGTAGTTAATAATATGAATGAATTTTATACTAATAAGGACACTTTATCACACTTTTACATGATCAGCAAGAAGAGAACAACCATTAGAAGTTAGTTTGAAGCTCGGCATAAATTAACTTGATTAACTCCTTTTGACGTCATAGTGAAGATATCTAGACTCTGTGTAGAGCACACCCTTGTGTACAGCTAAGATGTCATATGATAGTGTAGAAGCCAATAGAGATATTCAGTGAGATCACCTAGATATAGCTAATGAATACTTGTACTGATATCCATGACTGCAAACTAACTTAGCGCAGATAGTAAGAGTTCAATTATTCCTCTATGGTTAGTGTAAGGTGATTGTTAATAAACTCCAGGTCATGGTTTCATGGTTGCTGACAATCATCTACAGGCAGACTAGCGACTTCATTTGAGGTGAAATCTTCTTTAAAATCCAAATTAAGATTACTAAGTTTTATTCCTGAGCTAATTCAGCTCTGAATATGCCTCTTTAGGTTCGGATTAGGTACGCTGATCAGTTATCGGAAAGAACTGAATGTCATTTAGACTGAAACCCAATTGCTGATTGAATTCTGTTGAAAAAAATTTAATTTATAATAGCTAAGTCAGGAATGTCATCATCTCTTGCAACAAACTGTGAGGAGCGAGAAGACAGGCATACGCTGTCTGACCGGTGAAAAGATGCTAGAAGATTTAGATTTTGCCGATGATGATTTACTTCTTATGTCACACAAAAAAAGACCTTCAGCAATCTCAAATCAGTGTGGAGATCTATTGCACTCCACTCCACTCAGCATAAAGTGTGAACAACATCCTGATTTCCAACACTAATGTTGGTTCTGTCAGTCAGTCAGTCAGTCAGTCAATCAATCAGTCAGTCAGTCAGTCAGTCACTACTTCCATCTGATAGTTCAGACAGTTGGAAGCGCGTTACGAAAAGCATTCACAACAAACTACAGACATACATCATTACAGCTGCCACCCCCCCCCCCCCCCAACACACTCACTCAATACTGAAGATCAGATGGATGACCATAATAATAAGAATAAGCAGGAAGGAAGTCATTCTGGCTGTCAACAAACCAACCGAGAAGTCATCGCCAACAAGTATGCAGGCGAAGAAAGTGGAGATGGATTGGATTTGACGTAGACTGAGAAGACGATTGAGGACATCACATGTGATGACATTCCAGACCAGACCAGGCTAGGCCAGGCCAGACCAGGCCAAGTCAAACCATGCCATACCAGTCCGGATCGTGGAGTGGAACCCGAATGGGAAACGAAGAGTTGGTTGTGTGAGGATAGGGAGACATGTAGGAGATGGTGTGAGGAAGAAATGAAAGTGTATGGACAGTGGTGAATTTAGGTTGAGAAGACTGTGGAGAAGAGAGTGAAATGGCTACGTGTTACCGAAGCGGTATGTTTCACTAGAAAACCAAAAGAAAAACAAATAATAATAATAGTTCTATGAAAACGTTATTAACAGAATACAGCCAGTTCTTAAAACTAGATAGCATGATACTAGTTAGCTAATAGAGATCATTCGGTGAGATATTCGCTGTCACTGCAACTTCAGGATAATAAAGGCCTTATTGACAACCTGTTCACTCTTAGATTGCTATCGTTAACGTTGGTATTGCAAAACTTTGATAGTCACGCTTCAGCTTCCAAGGCCTTAATTTATTTTGAAAATCCTTTCGTATATTTGAACTTCCGTAAATCCAAGATAGACTCATTAACCCATTCGGTTTCATCTTCACAGATTTCTGTGAGTAATAATGTGAGGGATACTGAACTTTATTGCTTAACTGTTACTCTATATTTTTAAAAGAAGAGGAGTAAATGAAACGCCCATCTTCTTTGATATAGCTTTCTTTATGCTCTCATCAATTTGATCGAAAGTATTTTCAAATCATCCTTTAAACAAAAGACAAACATAAGTAGTGTGAAACGTGACATAATAATTACTGAATTATTGAGCTTCATGGAATACCATAGCTACGGTAAGTAAATAAAAATGAGAATAATGATCAAATAAAATATAGAAAAAAAAAGTCTGAATTAAATTACAGGAAGTTGTAGAATAACATTTTCATTACTTATATCAGGATTAAAAATAAATTTTTCTGTATAAATGCCACCCACACTGAATTATAGTATATATAGTAAAAAACGTCAGATTTCGACCGTCGATAAGACACTAAACAATAAAAATTGCATCTTTTCAGCAGTCTAAACTAAAAGTCATTGCACTTAACAGTTTTCTGTTACATCTCTATGGTGCTACTAATGCACTCCTACTCCTGACAGCCCAGTACAAAGAACAGTGGATTACCAGCTCAACATGGCAGGCTCTCTATTCAATTTGAGTTGTTCCAACTATGTTATCTGAACGACAAGAGAGTAAGAAGTAAAGCTTATCGAAATTGTAGCCTAAACGTTTTACAAGATAAGAGGCATAAGAGTGATACATCCTATAAATCAAGTGAAATGTTGGTGGAAGATATCTCCACTAGTTTACTGTAGTTCTTAGAGGACTTATGGTGCTGATGATGGAATAATACACTGTTAAGATCATTGTCAGTTGACTCAAAATTGAGTTAATCATCTATGTTATTTAAAAGTATGCTAGTTCATGTCTAAAGTTACCGTCCAACTCTACTGTCATCTTGTAGTACAACTATTGTAGGTTTGATAACTGTTATTGTTTCCTAGAAAGAATATTTTTTTCAAGGAAATGGAGTAAAACGTGAATATATGACTCTAATCACTTTAACCTTCATGATATACATACCTAATCTAAGAGTTGCGAGAAAATATTTCTAAAAATGCTAATCAGAACGAAGAAAACCTGGGAAATTAAACTGCCCAGAAGATAATTTGCATAAAGGGTCTGTGTCGTTTGAAGAACCTCTGGTAGTCAGGAAGAACATGATTAGTTTCTTCTCACAACTTAAGAATCTGATCGTCTTCAAAATCAGGTATAAATTAACTAGGTCTAGAATTGAGCTGATTACTCAAAAACTATTAAAAGGGAATTCAATTGTCAACCTTTATTCTAACTATGAGTATTTATTGATGTACTTGTAATCCTCCGTTGTTGTCGAACAACTCAACTTAATAAAACAACGGAAAATTACAATTACATCAATAAATAGTAATAACTAATACCAGTTGTACAAGAAGTGACTATCGTGCCTCCTTGGCATCGTGTATACGCCTTGGCATTTAAAGCTATGGGTACAAGGTTCGAGTCTCAGTAAGAATAACATCACTCAGTGGAGCGCAGGTACGTTCAGCTGACGAATCCCGAGTAGGATGAAACGCGCTTCCTGGATTGTTCTGCCAGCCACAACCAAACATCCACCATATATTCAAACTTTTATCAATGCGCTACTATAGTAACCGAATGACTTTTTGTGATTCAGCGTCTAATGCTTAATAATAATAGTGTGATTCTTAGCCTTATAGAGAAAGAGAAGAATGATACTTTTAGAGAGGAATACTCAGCTGACAGATGTAGAAGAGGAAAAAAAGCGGCGCTCTCCATTATAAAGCCCCATGACTGATCTTTTCATTTCTTGTTTTAGATAATAAGAAAAGCAGTATTCTAAGGTTGTTAAAGGCACTACTTCATAGTATCTTTTTCCTCTGAACATCTTTGCTATTACTTTTTTTGATAGTTAGACAAATAGAGAGTAGAATTCTCATACTTTATTATGATGAGATTTGGTTTAATTCCTCTTTTTTATTTAATGAATGTTCACCTAATTAATAATGACAAATGGTAACATATGTCTGAAATTTCATTCAATCTTTAATTCACTCATCATTTACGCAATTACTACTAAAACTAAACAAATCACACCAACAAACAGATTTAACCTGATTATAATATTACTAACTTTATCATTATGAGAAATTTTGTGGACAGTAAGTTTTCAGGTAATTTTTAACTCGTAATGACAGTAAAAATGAGAAAGCATTGAAAAACCAACCAATAATAGACAGGTGTTTCATAGTATTTCCAGACTGTTCAGATGTAAATATCCAAGAAGATGTATAGAAATGAGTTCAGTGACTATCAGCATGTAACTATTCAGCCACTGGGTCGAAATTCGACAATGCAAATATTGCAACTTCTGTCAATTTTTTCCTACTTCACTTTGATCTTTGACTTCAAGTTATTCTCTAGTTGAAGCTTACTTTAAAGCTAGTTAGTTCCATACAAACCTCTCAAATGAAAAGCAGTCTGTTTCTTCAGAGGTATAAGCGTTTGACTCGCTTACATTTGAAGGGATAGTTATTGAAGTGAATATTCCGTGATGATCTTTACATACTATTTCACCATTACAGGGCTAGATCACCAACCAACACTAAGAAATGTCCTATATTCAATTCATTTTTCCTCATTAATTGGTTACTAGACAGTAATCAGTTTCATGTTATATAGTCCAGAGCACGGACAGAATTCTATTAATTATTTGGCTATGAAGCTCACCATTGCGGTGCACTTTTTGATGGTTGTTAGTTAGTTGAAGATCACCAGGGGACCATAACTGAACTAGATCTTTTGCTTCTTAGTATTGGCCAGTAAGGCGCATCTACAACTTTGAGGGGGGGGGTGATATACCCCTCTGAGGTTCCAACCCACCTCACCCGTGTTATAATCAGTCGCATTATTACTAATCTATTTGGGTTACAATTAATCACATCAGAAAATGATCGATATAATTCACTCAGCACTCAGGACTGCGCAGCTTGAAATTAGTTGCTCTCAGGTGATCAGTCAATGTATATAATTCAGTCCCACAGGAGCTTGATGACAACCCGAAAAACCCAGTCATAACATTGCTGACTATAACACTGGGTGACGCAGGTTCAAATCTAAGGCGGGACGTTAGTTCAGTAAAAGTTGAAGATCCGAAACCCGAGTCCACAGCTTCCTGCTGACTGCCTTCAACTAATTAGTGTCATTCTACTTTGTCTTATAGTATAATTCATATATAGTCGAAAAAGTTTGACAATTTGTTTGGTGTGGAAATTCTAGGGTAACTGATGCAATGTGTATATCTACTAAAAAAGCAGGAAATTCACTGTCACTTTATAATTTTTTTCAACAGGTCGACTGTCAAGCTGATCCAGGACAAGATTTTGTACCATGTTTTAAGGCTGGTGATCATCGTAGTAACGAAAACTTAGGTCTTTTATCATTGCATACCTTATGGTTTAGAGAGCATAATCGTTTAGCTGACAATTTAAGAACATTAAATCCTCACTGGTCTGGTGACAGGATATTTCATGAAGCAAGAAAAATTGTCGGTGCATCTATGCAAGCCATCACATACCGATCTTGGTTACCAATCATTCTGGGACCAGATGGAATGCAATTGTTAGGCAATTACAATGGATACGATGATCAAGTAAATCCAACAATAAGTAATGCATTCGCTACAGCTGCTATGAGATTTGGTCATACTATGGTACCACCAGTTGTTTTTAGACTAGATGAAAATTATGAACCGATAGATGAAGGTCATCTGTTATTACATCAAGCATTCTTTGCTCCTGATAGATTACTTAAAGATGGTGGAATGGATCCTTTAGTAAGAGGTCTTTTATTCAATGGCATTCGTGATCGTTCAAGGAATCCGTCTCTTAACAGTGAATTGACTGAAAGATTATTTGCTATGGCTCATGAACTTGCATTGGATTTAGCAGCTTTGAATGTTCAACGTGGTCGAGATCATGGACTTCCAAGTTATACTGAATATGCATATAAAGTTTGTGGATTGGGTAATTCACCATATCCTAGTTCATTTGAAGAACTTAAACCAAGAATTTCAAAAATGCATATTTTAGAAGGATTAAGAAGAGTCTATGGTCACCCAGGAAATATAGATTTATTCACTGGTGGAATTTTGGAAGATTTACTACCAGAAGCTCGAGTTGGTCCAACATTTGCTTGTATAATAGCTGAACAATTCCGTAAACTTAGATCAGGTGATCGATTTTGGTATGAAGCTTCTGGAGTATTTTCACCTGCTCAATTAGCAGAGATCAAACGTACAGGATCCAGTTTATCACGTATTATTTGTGAGAATTCAGATAATATTACTAAAGTACCTGAGAATGCATTCATTCGACCTAATCGTAAACAAGATCTTATTGATTGTAGCCGTGTATCAAGATTAAATTTAGCTGTTTGGAAAGAATGCCCATCTACAAGTGGTTTCTTGAATACATATCATGGTACAGCTTATATTACTGATACTGGGAAGTTAGAATCCGTTGAACCAACATCACGTACACGACATAGACGGGATATATTTGAATCTGAAAAACTTCAATCATCACAGAATATAGAAAATAACTATGAAACTGAACAAGTGAAGATATTATCCAAAAGAATCAAACAACTGGAAGAACAAATGGCGTTACTCTTAAAATTTAACCATAATACAACGTCGTTTGGCAATCAATAAAAGATTTAGACATTCTTTTTTCCTGGAATAGGATTATTTATATAAATAATGTAATTCAATTATATATCTAGTCATTAAATAAAAATGAAATAAATCAATAAATATACAATTAATTTTCATTATTTTTCTTTCCATTATCACAAATTTTCTAATCTGAGTTATAAATCATTTTAAAAGTAGAGTGAATATTAAAAAAATTCTAGGCTTTTAAAATAATATACAACAACCTTCACTTTGGTTTGTTTAAACCAGAAAATATTCACACTTGAATAAAAACATAATATAACATTTTTTTCTACATTACTATTCATCACTAATCGTTGACACCATCCAATCTAATTTGATGGCAAAAACTTGTTGAAATGAAAGGAAATTGTTCCATATGAATAACCTCTAGTCGTTGTTGATTATTTGTTTTGATTAGTATTATGGTGAGTAACATCACTACAAGTTGTTCTATTCTATTTTTTTCTGGGATTTCAACAAAACATGTAAATGTAAAAATATGTTTTAAATATGGCGTTTTGCTTCTCCTTTCCACTCATGAAATTGACATCTGTTAGTTATAGCATTACTCGTGCACTGAAGGCTGCTTTCAAAAATGTATATCAGTAGTCGGTAGCACTTTGGGAAATGCAAAATGTTATCATAGTCGACTGGTAACAGTTCTGAGGGGAAATAATACACAATATTGTATAGCAGCATAAAAGAAAAGAACTTTTACTTGCAACAATCATAGCGAAACACATTGGAATCCGTAACAAATAGTAATACTAAGGTTTATAAGAGTCACTTTTAGATCTCTCTTTAGAGAAATCTGTTCCACCAATATTGTTACTTTCAACTGGGGTCAGAATAAAAAGCACAACTATTTTCTCTGCCGATTTATAACAGTAGGTTACATGAGGCTCAGTAGATCCAGGTGAACAAATCTGAACAAAAGATATAAGCAAACCTCTTTGGGCTTTACTCTAATACAAATAGCTTTATATATATATATATATATATATATATATATTTGTCCCTTGGGTTCCTAGTGGAACATACCGCTTCAGTAACACGTAGCCATTTCACTCTCTTCTCCACAGTCTTCTCAACCTAAATTCACCACTGTCCATACACTTTCATTTCTTCCTCACACCATCTCCTACATGTCCCCCTCTCCTCACACAACCAACTCTTCGTTTCCCATTCGGGTTCCACTCGACGATATGGACTGGTATAGCTTGGCTTGGCCTAGCCTGGTCTGGTCTGGAATGTCATCACATGTGATGTCCTCAATCGTCTTCTCAGTCTACGTCAAATCCAATCCATCTCCACTTTCTTCGCCTGCATACTTGTTGGCGATGACTTCTCGGTTGGTTTGTTGACAGCCAGAATGACTTCCTTCCTGCTTATTCTTATTATTATGGTCATCCATCTGATCTTCAGTATTGAGTGAGTGTGTTGGGGGGGGGGGGGTGGCAGCTGTAATGATGTATGTCTGTAGTTTGTTGTGAATGCTTTTCGTAACGCGCTTCCAACTGTCTGAACTATCAGATGGAAGTAGTGACTGACTGACTGACAGAACCGACATCAGTGTTGGAAATCAGGATGTTGTTCACACTTTATGCTGAGTGGAGTGGAGTGGAGTGCAACAGATCTCCACAATGATTTCAGATTAATGAAGGAAGGCCAGTCTTGCTGCCTTTCCGACCATGGCTTCCATATCCTCGTCTGTACCGCCGCCACCTGCAGTTGACACCATGCTGCCTAGGTAAGTGTGTAGGTGAAAGAAACTACACCCTTCAGGTTTCTCCCACTCATTGTGATTCGTGCCTCTTGTTGTTCATGCTGTTGTTGGTTGGGTATCTTCATCATCTCCGTCTTCTCCACATTCACTTGAAGTCCCGTTTTCGCTACCCTGCCTCCTCTGTCAACTTGTTTGTTTTCGTCTGTAGATCTCCGAGTTTGTGCGACAAGGCATTAGACATTAATAATCGTCGTTGGCGAAATCCAAATCTTCTTCTGGAGTCTTTTCATCGATCAGACAGCGTAAGCCCATCTTCTCGCTCCTCACGGTTTGCTGCATGATCCAGTTCAGTCGACTCGACCACAATCAGGAAGATCATGGGTGATGGTAGGCGGTGGCCTTGTCTTACTCCTTCCTGACTTCACTTCAAAGGCATGACTGAGCTTTCTATTGTGAATCATCCAGCATGTGGCGTCGTCATATAGCTGTTGATTGAGGTTTGTGGCACTAAAACCGTAGTGTCGAAGCAGCTGCCTGCCAAATTACTTATTGGTCGACGCTGTTGAAGGCCTTTTCAAAGTGTATGAAGTTGAGGTAGAGTTGCGTTGATTGTCATTCTATACTCTTTTCTATGATGATGCGTAGCGTCACAATTTGATCCGTACATGATTTGTTCTTCCTGAAGCCAACCAGCTAGCCAGCCTGTTCCGGTCGTACTTTTGAATCCATGGTATCCTTTAGTCTCTCCAGGATGGTGCGGCTTAATATTGTGCTCGTTTTGGGTGGACAGGAGCATGATTCCTCGCTAGTTCTTGCAAAGGCTTAGGTCTCCGTTCTTTGGGAGTTTGACGACGTTAAATTTGTCTGATTACTAACCAGACTATCTAAGATGGTTGTGATTTGGCACATTGTTATTATTGTTGTTGTGTGACTTGAAAGTGAAAACTTAGGTAGTGCAGAATTTAGAATAATGGCCTGCAGGATAACCAGCTAGAGCTGTACTGACTGAGACAAAAACATGCCACTGGTTTGAATCCTATCGTGACTCAGGTTTTCAGTTCACCCATAATCCATCAACTAGTATCAATGATTTGTTTGCACTAAAAGCATCATTTCGTTATATAAACGAACGAGTTGTACGCTTCTATTGAAGAAAGTCTTTTCAATTTATGCACTTCTTCGCTTTATATTAGCTGTATGAAGTTCTGGAGGAAGTTGCAATTCATTAGCTAAATGAAGTATATTCTTGAATTTATCAACCCCTGAACTTGTATACGCCATGCTTTATACTTACACCAACAACTAGTGAGTCTAATTCAAAGGTTATCCTAGCAGTGACACCTAGTTGTCTATAGATAGATATTTCTATTTGGCTTTTAAGAAAATACTGTTTTGTCAACCAAAGTGAAATAATTGTGACTGATGTCACTATAGGAATTCTGAATTTGCTCAACTAGTTGTTCTAGGTAGCATATTTTGTATCGGATCACTTGTATGGCAACGTTGACAAAGGTAAAAGACTAAGAAAGGTAAATTCTACTGGAAAGGTATCTAAATTCCCTCCAAATGTTCTTTCCGGACCAGCAATCCACAGCAGACATGAAAAAACTCTAGTTGTCATTACTTTCCCCTACTTTCTATATTTCTGGAATCTAATGGTATGCAGTACACTTTGAATTTCCACTTCGTCACATTTATTTACATCTGAATTGAACTTTCTATGAGAATCGTATTTTGGCAGACTGATGTAATGAATGAAGGTGAAGTGAATAACTGGGTCATGAAGAGATTACAACCAATATCTTTAGGCTTACTGGCTTAGCGCTTCACCAAGACAACAAGCTGTCGAACAGGTCTTATTTTTTACTTCAATCAACGACAGTTTCTTCTAGTTTTCATATGAATCCATTATATATACCTATCTGTTCATCGTAATCACACTATGTGCCCAACAAGATCTCATCCTAATACCAATCCAGCTGAATTAAAGAGGGAAAGTGTCATACCGATTATTATTGATGATATCTGAAATATTTTGATGGTGTGTTCTTTGAAGTGCATACTTCAGTCGTGAAGCTTTCACTGTCGTTCTTGACAACAGCATCATCAGAAAGAAGTGCCTTAGCAGCTCATCCTGATTGATTCGTGGTTGCTGCCAAAGTTTCGTCAGTCTCTATATTTATTTCGATTGGTTATTCTGCTGACGCGATCTTTGACCTATTTGTCACTTTTTTCTCATTGGCTGATAGATTGCATCAATGTCAATTGCTGACGCTTCTGCAGATTCTCTCCCATTCTTTGTATTCAAACTGTCCAGGATTTTCACATTTTCCTAGTCAAATTCATATATATATATATATATATATATATATATATATATATATATATATATTCATATGAGTGGAGATATATTATGACGCTTCACTGCTAGTTGATGTTCGTGAAGACGGATATGAAGAGGGGTACCACTCTGTCCGATATAGTATTCTTCGCAATTTAGTTTGTAGATAATTAAATTTTTGAGGGAGTTGTGGAGATTTGGAAATATTTCAAGTTGTTATTCATCGTAGACTGACATCAGTTGGAGGAACAAAGGAAACCTGCGAGCACTGGACAGCTGTTTCGTCCTGGTACGGGCTCCTCAGCAGTGCTTCCAGGTTTCCTTTGTTCCCCCAACTGATGTCAGTCTACGATGAATAACAATTTGTAGATAATGTTTGGTTTGTCTTCCTTCGCCATTCCATTTCTTGGCCTGTATAATGGGGAGTGAAGAGGTTTAATGTGCTTATGAGCTACAGCGATTTCAAAAGGTTCCAGTAACCTAGTCATGATCTCCGAAACGTTCTTCATGTACGGAAAGACAATCTGTTTGTTGGTTTCCAGGGCTCAATTTCCGGCTGACGGTGAAGTTGACAAACATCTTTTGATGAAGTTGCATGGATAGCTGTTCTTCTGGAAGACAGTCACTGAATAGTTTTCTTTCCTTCGCTTTTTTGAACAATGTTTTTACAACTGATATTGTGTGCTGCTGCTACTGTAGTTAGGTTGAGGATTTGATTTGCATGAATTGCTTTTCTGTGTGCTTCAGTTTCCAATTTTCTCCAGTGCTAAAGAATTTTTGGAAACTTGGCATTCAGGTCAGTCACCAATTAACAGAAATATTGACACTGACCCAATCTATCAACCAGTAAGAAACAAGAAGCATCCACATCAGGTCAAAGATCACGCGAGCGGGTCAACCAATCGAAATTAATAGAGACAATGACAAAACTTTGGCAGAAACTGCCAATCAATCAGGATGAGCTACTAAGCCACTTATGGAGAAATGCCTATGACTCACCTCTTTCTGAAGTTTGTACTGATGATGTTGTCCAGAATGACAATAAAAACTTCACGACTACGCTATCCAACTCAGAGAAGACAACACCAACAAAATCATCCTCCTGAACTACAAATATTCTCTACCATCTCAATATCTGAAATACCTGTGGTTTTACACACTAGCATTACTTTTACTCGGCTCAAATCCTTTCGCAACCCAGGTTTATACTCATCCATCAGTCATCACTTGGCAACAAAATCTATGCTAATCAGCAACATATCAAAAATACACCGTAAACTACTTCAACAGTACTAGGAATTTAATCACCAGTTTCATTTCTTCGAGAAGACAAACTCATGTACAAAGATATTTCCGTCTGTACAAAATCCCACAGCAGATTACATGTCAAATTAGACAAAAGAAGGAGAAAGTACAACACAAAGCTCTGTATGCGCGTACATAACTGAACACAAAAAGAGAAAGGCAAAGGGTATATAAAGCAAGAAAAGCGTAAACAACTAGAAAAACAGTGAAAATAATTTTTACACATATAAATATCGATATTTATTTACAATTCGATATGGATAAGCGGAAATTTAGTACACAGTTGATTTTTCGCCCTAAGTCACAATACAACGAAATGCATAAACAAATTACAACACAAATACATCTGGGTATTGTGTGCGTATGTGTGTGTAGTGACAAAGACAAATAAATGAAAAAACCGGGATGCTAAAAAAAAACAGATTATAATGCAAATGAGAAGAGTACAGGGTGGAAGAAGTAACTGCCTGATGTTTCCTTTAAAAAATAAATAACGAGTTAGATGGAAAGTAAACACAGCAGACATTATGGTTATATTGTCATCAAAAGGCATATTATATCATTCAAATGCAAAGCTGAAAGAATCCAACTTAATTAAAAACTAACAGAATTTCGGGGGCATTTTTTAAAAGGTTTATATCCTATAGGCATAGAAGAGTTTAACTGGGAATGAAAAGATTGCATCTGGCTACAATTAAAGTACAATTGATTAGCGTTGTATACTGAAGAATATGAAAAACAAAACTTGATTAAACTAATAATCTGACCATCAAAATTTTTAAAGGAAATAAGGGAAATTTTTCAAGGAGAACACCATAGTCAGCAGAAACTTCTTCCACAATAAAGTTGTTGTTAAAAATCAATATAATGCCTAAACTAAAATAGTAGATGTTACATCACTTGTAGGAAAGCTCTCTGAAGTCGACATTGGGCGCTGTTTGGATATTATACAAAAAGAGCAATCTATTTATACATATATGCAACAAAAAACACCAATAAACCATGATATTATCTGCAGAAAACAGATAAACCAGACACAAAGATTTGATGACAATCAATGCAAAAAAAATTTCAGAGATATTTTAAGGTTGGCGAAGTAAAAGCATATATGGCTTCAGTTGTATATAGAACAACTTATAATCTGGCGTAGAGATCCCTTCCATAAAGATGATAATGATGATAATGATAGGAGACTATGTTGTCTATAGTATGCGAGATGGCAAGTGATTCCAGATTACACTAAGCTTTTATTTTTAGAAAAAGAGATCATACAATCCAGAAAACTTTACATTATCAAGGAAGACATTTGACAGTCCCAATTGATAGACAATAAATTTTACGAGAATCTTAAAAGGTTGGGTTAGTACGAGTACAGCATGAAAAAAATAAGGAAGATGTAGGAAGCATTAAATGTTGATTCTTTGATTTAATACATTTATGTGATAGGGCGCTAGAATCCATACTACAATGGCTATTAGTTTTCGATAGTTGTGTTTCAGCAGTAAGCCGATCAACAGTCTTTACATCATCTTGATCAGTTGATGAAACTATTTCACGATTGGATTTGATTAGATTTCCTTGTTTGGAAATTGTGTTTTTCTCTACTCCTAATAATAATTCCGAATCTGTATTGAGTAAATAGTTGATAGTTGGTTTTTCCACTCCTGGTGACACACTTGTCACTTGTCCATCAGTGACTTCTTGGCTAGTAATTTCTGATTGACTTATAGGTGGACCACGTGACTGGTGTTTACGTTTAAATAGCCTACTAAAAATACTCCGGCCATAAGAAGGATTTTGTTCTATTGGCACAATAGAAGGATTCAAATTGTCGACTAAAGTTCCATCTGATTTATAAAATTCATTTAGGTCATCAAAACAACCAGTTTCTAGCATCTAATGAAGAAATTTAAAGAAAAAGAAAATGATTGGTTAAATCAATCGACAAACTTGTAGTGAAATAATTGTTGATATTTTCCACTTGTGTTGAAGCTTGAATACTAACTTCACTCTATCAGGTGAGCTTCAGAAAAGCAAATGAAAAGAAAACCCATCTAGACAATCCATGAATACAAAAGATAAGCGGATACTGCTTGATGATTTAAGGTGCAATCAAAATTCGGACGGTAGCAGGATCCTAACTGGACACCTCCAGGTTACCGGCCAGTTGCTCTGCCAGCTACTCAGTTACAGGACCACAGGATCACCCTATCCAGAAGCTCAAACGAACCTTAAACAAACTCTTGAAAGCAGAAGAAATAATAAATAAAAATGACGAATGAAATCGAATAGACTTGTCCTTCCTCGGTTCTACAGCAGACCAAAACTACACAAACCAGACATGCCTCTACGACCAACAGTCTCACTTCCAGGAACTCCAACATGTAACATAAGAGAACTTTCAATAGAACTAAAACACCTTGTTCTATCATGTGGACACTACATCAAATCACCAACAGAATATTAAAAAAGATCGAAATCATTAATATAGAAAACGATGAATTAATGCTATCCTTCGATGTCATGGCATTATACACATCCATCGAACCTCAAATGGCCAAGGAAACTATATCTCTTCTGCTCAATGAAGACACAAACCTTTCAGAACGCACAAAACTGAAATGTTCAAATCTAATGGAACCCATCGATTTTTGTAAGACAAAATACTTCCATTTCAACGGCAAGATACTCAAACGCATGAAAGGAACTCCAATGGGGTCACCGATATCTGGAATAATTGCAGAGGTAGTGATGCAGAGACTGGAAGCCATCAACCCACCTATGATCAAACCAAAAAATTGGATTCCCTATGTAGACGACACTTTTGTCATCATCAAAAAACATGATATAGAAAACACTCACAGTTTGATCAACAACTTTTCAATGACAACAAATTCACAATGGAGAAGCAGCCAAACAACCAACTACAATTCCTCAATGTTTTAGTCAGTAGGACAAATGCCAGAAAGCTGGAAACTAAAGTGTAAAGAAAGTCAACACACTGATAAAATCCTCAACTACAGTATCAACAACACAGTAACATACAAAATCAGTTGCCTCCAGATTCTACTCAAAAGAGTCAGAACACACTGCAGCACAAAAGCTTCACGGAGAAAAGAAGAAAATTACTTGATGTCCATCCTAAAGAAGAATGGCTATCCACGAGAGTTTATCAGAAGATACCTATCCCGTACATCATCAACTACAAAGTCATAGACACAAACCAATAAACGCATCATCCTACCATACATAAAAAAATATATCAGGAATCACGACAAGAATACTAAGACCACTTGGAATTGGTGTGGCTCATAAACCAACAAATTCCCTGCAAACACCATTATGCAGACCAAAGGATGCAACAACCAAAGAAGACAAACCGAATATCATTTACAAAATCAACACTACATTGGACAAAGTGGTTGCTCTCTTCTCCTTCGTCTACATGAACACCAATTGGCTATCAAATGTCACAACATTTCCTCAATCATTTCAATGCATGTGGATAATTATGGACATGAATTCAATTTCCACAATGTAGAAACTATCTATGGGAAACGCTTTACTGTTGCTCTTTTCAGAAAAGCTAACAGTACGATTTCTCTCTCGTAACCCACCAAGGCGCAGCTTTTTACACTAAAACGGTAACAGACCTTTTTGAGTTGATGAAACCTCAGGCAGCAATCATCCCAGTCTAACCGCAACATCAAGGGAACAGTCATCGGTACTGAATGACTAATTATAATTCCCAAGACCCAACTGAATAAATATCAGAATAAAAACGTGTTGTACGGGCTTGGTCATATGTACCAATTCCTTATTATGTAGTAAATAATTACTAATATACAAGAAAAGATATAGTCTAGAAAGTGCAAGTAAGAACTGTTCGTCAGACAACAAAAAGTCATTCAAGGATAACAGGGAGCTTAATAGGCATCCAGAAGATTTTTACCAACGAATGTACAAGTCAACCGGGTTTTCGTCCCGGTGATCTACCAACTGAGCTACGTTTTTATAAAATTGAAGGGATATTGATTCGAATAACAGTCAATTTATCGCCTTCAGGTATTAAAACCGTAGACCAGTTATTGCATACATATAGATACATACTTTTTTAAAGGTAGTACTCATCAAAAACTGACATCATTTGGAGAACCATTGAAAACCTATGAGTACTGAATAGCTATTTCTTCTTAGAATCTAACCCCTTAAAATAAATAAAACCCATATCATTCTCAAACAAAGTTTAGTGGATTTTTGAACAAGCTCTGATATTTCCAAGAATAATTAAATAGGTTTAGCAATTTTATTTTGAGGACAGTGATCCTCCCTTCAGAGATATTATGAGTGGAGAAGTACTGTCAAGGGGTTAAGGTAGTATTCATCATGGACTAACATAAAATCCCTACAAACTTCAAACTACATTACTATCTACTGCTCATTTATGATAAGCTTTGAGATGGATATCCCAAAGTTCTAATGAGAAGCCGTGGACCATTGAAATCTGACCCACAGCCAGAATGATTAGCGCATTCGCCGTGAACATTGAAGGTGTTGAGATTTGTCCCCAGTTGGATCATGGTTGCGTACTACTGATGAGTCATGGACTGGGACGAAACAGTTGTGCAATGTCCCCGAATTTTCAATACTTCTCCAAATGATGTCAATCAGTGATGAATACTACCCTTGAGTATGCTCTGTACTCTGCCTTCTTTGTCACTTTAAAGGGAAATTCATTTTGGCGTAGAAGGATGCATATTACATAAGTAATGATGTACAACTTATTGTACAACGCATATTCTTTTTGATTATGAATAATAAAGACAATCACATTAAATTCTACAGTAGATATTTTCAAAACAAAACTAACTACAGGAGTGTTAAGTCCCTGTCACTAGTTTATTCTATACACACCTCTACACGGTGATAATGTGTGGCCGCCTACAACAAACAGCAAAAACCAACCATACACACAAGAACATACATAGTTACATGTACACAAGCATAAAAATATAACTTTTAACACTGTGATATTTCTTCTTTTTTTTCTACTAGATACCAACACCAGTAGGAAAACGAAATTCTTGTTTTCACTGAATTTCTTTTTGTTACCTCCATATTAGATTTGTTTATTTGACATTTATCGCACAATGATACAGTATTATTTACTTGATGAAGATGTTCCGAGCATAAATCATTGCTCATAATCTTGTTATAGTGGCTATGTTTTACATTTATATCCCTCTTTTTACGATTTTTACTAGATATCTTGATCTTATTCCACTACACCCACACAAAATACATATACACATGTATTTCTGTTGGGTGATGATTGAAGGTGAAATGAAAATTTGGACCGCAGCAAGATTAGAACCAGCAACCACCGATTTTCTGAACATCGGGCCAGAAATACTAGTCTGCCAAACTACAGCTACTTCAGACAGTCAAATGATATACACATGTACATATATGCAAGCATAGATAGTCTCATAGACTTACTTCATTCTGCCATGGTATACTAACAGCTCCAGAGCAGAAACGTTTATAAAACTCCATATCTTTATTGTCTAATGTTACACCTTTAATAGTAGAGAATTGTTCAATGTCTAAAACATCTTTTGCATAGACTGCATGAGGCTAATAAACAAAGAAGGCAATAAAAACAGTAAAAACACTAATAATAACAATAATATTGAATTTGGGAGGTTATGGGGATTTAGAGATTTTTCAAGTTGGCCGTGAGGACAATTACTCAACGATGACATTGGGTGGTGGTCGTGCTATGTTGTGAGCTGACAGAAGTAGGAAATAATGACCAGTAGATTCCGATCCAGTGGCTTAATGGTAACCTGCTGGTTACAAAACTTGAAGGTCGTCGGTTCGACCCCTGGCAGGGTCGAGGGTGAGCACTGCTGAAAAGTCCCATAGTAGGAGGAAACAGCTGTCCAGTGCTCCCAGGTTTCAAATATCTCTCCAACTGACGTCTGTTCATGATGAACACCAACTTGAATAATAATATTATGAATAAAAGATGATTATAAATTGTTATTTAAATAATTATAAATAAAATGAAATCATTCATTTGACTGAGAAACATTTACTCTCGATAACAAAATAGGGTAAAGAAAAAAGGCATTTGGTGTGGATTAAATGAAACGTTAAAAGAAACAATATATCACTACTACTGACTAATATTAAAACATATAAACTTGTAGGTAATCAGCGAATTTTACAACTTCATGCTGTACATTTAGAGTAAATTGACAAAAAGTCTAGGAACTAAGCGTTTTGTTTTAATTGATATGTTTCACATAAACATTTAACTCCAAGTATGAAAATAGTTAAGCTTCATTGAAAATATTCTAATCTAAGTCATTCAAAACTATACACAGATACCATACTATGAAATTTTTGAAAAATACATCTGATACCCCACTTTTGATAAGAAAAGATGAGCTACACACTGCCATCACTTTATAATAATAATAATAATAATAATAATAATAATAATAATATCTATTTTCAGGTTAATGGGATTTTATTTTTTTTTCAGGTATGATTCATTACAGACTGAGATCAATTGGAGAAGGTATTGAAGACCTGGGAGCACTAGACAGTTTTTTCCACCTCTTAGCAGCACACACCCACAATTCCACCACCCATTTGGAGGAAAACTACACCTTGTATACTTGAAACATTCTTTTCTTTTTGAAAAATCTCTTGAAATCTTGTAGGCAGTTTGATTGAACTACTCAAGAGAAGTACTAATAAAGTAACCATGTAAAATAAAAGATTCTAAACACCTATTTAAGAGTTGGATCTTGATGAAGACTACAACATTCACTTTCATCCTAGATTATTCTAAAACTTAGATAACCATATTGTATTTCTTTCTACAACATATCATTGATATATTAGTTAACAATTCCTACAAACTGCACAAAAATGTATTGCGTAAATACTTCATATTTATCAGGTTAAGTTAGTTTACTGTCATGTCATGTTGTTGTAATAGCATAAAATATAAAGACTACAGACAGTATGGAAAAGTAATGTCATACTATCAGATACAAGTTCATCGCAAAATTCAAGGACTTTAAACTGCGAACTGACATTAGTTGGAGAAACACCGAAAGCCTAGGAGTACTTGGCAGCTATTTCATCCCTAGCCGAACGCACCATAACCCTGCCAGGGATCAAACACAGGTTTTGCGGTGAGTATGTTACCTTTGAGCCAGTAATTCGGAATCCAACGATTTATATTTTCCTGCATCTGTCAATTTGTGGCATAACGCAACACCTTCATCCAATGCCATCATTGAGTATTCGTCATCACGTCTGACCTAGTTTGTCCCACAAGTCATGACTTCTCATTAGAACATCAGTTCACGCAAGTTTTCAATGGTTCTCCAACTGATGTTAGTCTAAGATGAATATCAAATTGAAATCAGTAAATCTCCACAAACTTCCAAATTGAATTTTAAACGAAACAACGGGCATTGAGGTAGAAAGTAATTCCGTTTCAGTTGATTTATTAAACGTATCGTATACTGAATTAGTATTACCTACTGGATTACGTTTCAAACAAAATTTATTGTCTATATTCCTATCATCTCAGCAGGATGCTTTTTCAGACACCTAAGGCAACGAGATGACGAACGATTTCAAAGAGCTAAAACTTATATGTATCAGCAGAATAGAATATCTACGTATTGTATTGATTTAATACCTTTTCAATCATTACCAGTCCCAGGTGAAGTCAACAATCTTTTGAATATAAAATGTATGCTGATTAATAAAGTTTGTGCGTAGAATATATTAACATTCCATTTACGACAGACGGTTGCTACAGGAATTCATTACTCAATTTTGTGTTTTACAATAAATTAGAATCAGTAAAGTTGTGGCTGAAAAACACAGTAGAAATCCTCTTAATTGACTTGGTGGTGGCTAATAGTGGAATCCAAGACTTGCGTTTCGTCCTATCAGGGAGTCGTCAGTTACATTTACCTACACTCTAGTGGGTGATTGTGTTTCCACTGAAGCTCGAATCTGGTATCCATCACTTCAAGCCCCAGAGCCTTATCCACTAGGTCACTGAGGTCCAATAGTCATCTCTTATGAAACAGGTATTAGTTATTATTATCTGTTGTTATAATAGATCGAATTTATTCATCTCTATTGGCATATGGGCTCTTATGTCGACGCCTCGATACTCCCTAAATATTCATTGCTATCCGCATAGGAACCCATATGCCGACAGAGGTCGATCAATTTGATCCAGTATAGCGAAGACTAATTACCCTCCACTTATTTCGAATGGAAACTGCAGGGAGAAGAAATCTTGAGATACTGCTGAATAACATAGCATGTGAGTGGTGTGAAACATATTAGTAAATAGTAGGTAACAAGTAGCAAATATCTCAAAAGAAAAACAGCTGAAAACAATGTAGAAGGAAATAGTTAGGCTGGACAGTTGAAGGTAATCGGTAGAAGGCTTGGAAATTAATGCTATGGCCGCCATTCACGCCCGTGTTAACTCAGGTTGGAATCAGACAGATTGGATTACCTCGTAGATTGTATTAAATACACTGACTCGTCAGTACAGAGTAACTGTCGGCATACTTCCAAGTCATAAGCAGTGAACAAATACCTTCCATCTGGTTTGGAATAACGCAGTGACAAGCAACATGGGTTACAACCTCTGAAGGAGTAACAGCACACTAGACGTTGCGGACACACCCTAAAATGACCGACTGCTGACAAGGAATGAATCAGATTCCTATTTCTTCTGAGTGGCTTCCAGCTAAGGAAATTCATGTTCAGTCCATTCCATATCAGCTTTCTGTAAATCGATCTCAGGAGGGAACCGTCCGGTCCCCATTTCAATAAGGCTTCCAAGAGACGACATTCCGAGTTATTCTCGAATTTTGATGAGTGTCTCATTGGAACGAAGACTACATGGTTCATTGCAGAGGTCGACCCACAGAAAATCAACAAAGAATGGACCTGGATTTTCATAGCTGGAAGCCGCTCAACAGAAATGGAAGTCTGATTTATTCTTTTTCAGTAAAAATAAGAAGTATCTACGTGAGTGACACTATCGACGATGAGTTGGGAAAACCTAGAAAAATTCTCAAAAATGGATATTCATGCAGACTTATTGAGGCAAAACTGCAATTAAAACGGAATATGGGGACAAGTACTTACAGCTCCAGAGAAAGCTTTATTTACCAATGTTGATTTCATAGGTAATATGGCAGCAGAGATCCTGAAGAATTGGTTGTCCAGACCGCTGAACAGAACATTCTTCTCTGTCAAGCTACAGATTAGCTTCCCTAGTCGGCAAATGGTTTTAGGGTATCTTAAAAGCAAGCTGTCTCTTTGAACCACTTTACTGGACGCCTACAAATTTACTTGCTCCTGTGGCGCTAGTTATGTAAGCTGCACTTTCAAAACGTATTTCTGAGTACTACTTTACATGTTTGTCACGAATATGGAAATCAAATAACGTTTCATTTCTGGACATACGGTTCCTCCAGAGTCATCCTTAGATTTCATCTATAGAGTCAAAAGGAGTATGCTTTCAAAAATTGTGCCCCGTAGAAGCACTGGTAATTCATCAATTCAAGCTTGATCTCTGCATGCAGAGAAAACATCTCATCATGAACTTTTAACAGCAGCCTGGTTAAACGTTGGGCTACCAAACTTATCCATCCAACATTTTTCATCAAACTCTCCTTTCAATTTGTTTTAATCGTTTCAATATGTCCTTTGAACTCATCGTGTACTCTGGCACATTTCTAAACTTTTTCCAACTTTCCGTTTCTCGAATCAATAACAAAGCAGAGAAAAAAGTTACGTTATATGGAAATGGACTTTTCCATCATATCTATCATACATATTGTTTGGAAGAATAAAGCGATTATTATTGTCATCATGGTACTGATGTTTCTAGATTGTTTTCTTTCGTTTTTCGATTCCATTGTAATTAGTCAGTTTAGTAGTATCACGTATATTATGACCCTTGTTTCTTTCCTCACCTTCTTTACATCTATCAAGTGGAGACTCAACTATCACATTTCATATGTATTAAAAACTTTCACTTCTCTCGTTATTTGTACTGTCCAATAGACTATTATCCAACTCCTTTCCACTCCTCATTTCAGTTTTTAAGCTTGCCACTTGTCATTGTCATAAATATTTGTATCTAACAAGCAGTATTACTCCTATTATTATTATTGCTATTATTATTAGAACACAAACATCGTACACCAAGGGCACCAAGAAATGCGTTACACATGTCCAAGCCACTGAGGCCGGTGTTTCCAAATAACTCCACATATTGAATGACGATCTCCATCATGCCCAAACACACGATGTCGTACCTCAGAATTACTTACATGATGCTGCCACTGGATATGAGCAATCTTACGGAGACAACGATGATTGAAAAAACAAAGTTGTCGTACATCCTCAGCTCGGAGAGGTCGTTTCACAGGTGTACAGAAGAACTGCACGCACCGAAACGTTGTACACCCGACCTTTTACGGTCAGATTGATGTGACGACACCCCCAAAGGTGATCCAGATTGACGTATGCCACTCTAGCTGTCGATATGAGTTTGGACATTTCACCACTCACAACTCCATCAGCACTCATATAACTACCCAGATACATGAACTGCTGGACTCCTTCAAATGGCTTACTATCAAGGGTGAGTGCTACCACAAGCTCCTTCTAATCTTCCAAAAGTACTTGGCACTTCAATGGTGTAAAGCACATACCAACAAGTATACATTTTCTAACCCATAACAGTGTTTTATGAAGGACGGTTTTTAATTTGATAGTGAAATGGCTCTCAGTTAAAATTCTAGCTCAGAAAAAAAACGAACAGACGTCTACAAATGTGACTAAACAATTTTATGCTGGTTTCAAGGCTAAGAAATATTGAACAGTGAATTTCCAGACAGAGGATTCAAGAATACCACATGATTGAATTGA